CGCAAAGCTCGTTAGTTCTACTATATGTTAGTTCCGTATTATGGACTTGTAGTTATGTTTTTCCCTGATTTATATCAAGGCCATTAAACCTCGATACAGTACAGATGGTACAGTAGTCCAAGTTATTTTAAACTATCACAAGTGTTTTTTTGTCCATACGTATATACACGCACGCGCACACACACAGGCACACGCACACGCACAAATGTATAACTATACACAGACGAGCACTAACTCATTCTGTACTAATTCACTCACTGATTAGATTTCAATAAAGCTTGATAATGGGAAGAAGGCTAAGTGAAAGTTAATGACATTGTGAGGCCTATTCATTTCATTTCAGAGCCTATATCATAGTAAGCTACATATGCTAAATATAATTCATATTCTTTACGTCCATAAACTAATTTTTATTGTAGTTAATCTAATACGTGCCTTAGCTCACATAATCTTAGAGTTCTTATAAGAATGAGGATGCCTGCTAAATGACTTGAAGGGCGAAAGCTCGGAAAGTTTTCACCACAAGCGATTAAGGGTGTCTCGCAGATGGCGTCAATCTAAACGTCTCAGTAAACTCAAATTACAGGAGGCCAAGTGAAATCTGTCCTCGTCTCCTAGTCAGATTGACCTACGAATCTCTTCCTTACACGGCTCGATAAGAGATAAAAGTCAGCTCAACAGTGATGCATCAGGCCATAGTAAATGGGTTAGTCTTTTATTTCTCATGGGAGAGCAAAATCCTTTGTATATATATTATTTTATATCTATCGTGGACAGTCGTTTATAATCCTGTCCAATAAATTGTTGAACTTGATACACCTATACTACTCTAGGGCTTAAGCTACCCTTCCTTTCGTACACCTTTGATTCTTTACACAGTTCACCTTTTTATTACTCACTCTTCACATTCTACTCATTCATACATGCATCGATTGGCAATGAACTCCTATGCAAAGCCATATCAATATAAGGTAAACCATCGGCCAGCCTGCTTACAAACGATCAGGAACTAGACTAATAAATTGAGTTCTTTCAAGCAAAAGTTATAAAGACCAAGATGGTGTGTAAGTTCGTCTTTTTCATTTAAGATGATTTATGAATTTCTAGTTGGGCTTCTCAAAGTAACTGAATAGACCACACGATTCCATGAGACTTTACCTAATCTCGCTCACAGCTCAGGAGTCTCTTCAACGAGATTGAAAACTGGATCTAGATAGGAGAATGGAGACGCTATAATACTCGTTCACATAGTCACGGCTGCCGGCAAGAAGTCAGAGATATCTCAACTTTAATTCATAATGGGATTGCCATTAAGGCAAGCTCACATTTTTCGTTTGTAAGTAGGCTTTCGAGACTACCAAAAGATGGTATATATGACATGTATTCATCATATTTCGTTTATGATGATAAGAGGACTGACAGTTGAAGTTTCCTAAAATGATAGGAGTAGACATGATATTTCCACTGAATTTCACATAGCCTTGCTTTCTCAAAAGGCCCTCCCATCCAAGCAGGAGTGGACTGCAGTTTCGACCTCGCATCGGTCTTATCAACATCCTTCAGCGGGAATCGAGCCTTGGTAGTGTAGTGCATAATCTCAACACATCAACCCTTACACCACATTTCTGCGAGTAACCTTGTATCACAGAGAAGATGTGACTCTCAAGGAAGGCCAGGCATTTGCCTATATCCCATTCTGTGGTGGGGTTGTATAAGGCAAAGTTGTATTTGCTATAACAATAGACTAAATTGCTTACTTTTCACTTATAAGTAGGCTTTAGAGACTACCAGTGCAAGGCTATATGAAATTCAATGGAAACCTAAGGTATTGTGGGAAAATTCAATTATCAGTCCCTTTATCACTTTAAAAGAAATAATTTTGCATTTGCCCTTAACACCGATGACATCATCATGTACCGAATGAGTATCTACTAATAGTTTCGTAACATGCTCATCTGGATCATAATTAAGGGTTCATTTGCACAGTTTGATATGTATTATCATCCCTCACATAGAATTGTGGAATATCGCTAAATTGGCGTGAATGAAGGGTATTTTCCTGATCAGAGGAGCAAGGAAAGTCTTGCCCTGACAGGACTCAGATGTGGGAGTTTCATGGTAGTCTCACTAAACGCCCTGAGGCAGATCACACTATAGGAAGAAAATATTAAGATAACGTGCAAGCAAATATTTAAATGGCTATAAATTGTACCAGCTTGGAAACAAGCCAAGCTAACAGCTTTGAGCGTCAGAAATCTACTCGCAAATTTGGACATACAATAGTATGCGATAAACATCTTTACTCAAGTCGTATATCTAACAGTTTTGCTGAGCCTTTTATGCTATAGCAACCATGTAGTATCGTTATCAAAACGCCTAGATCTGAGTCAGGCAGCCTACGAAGACATGCCAAGGCCAAGATCTCAAACTGCTGCAATGTAATAAACTTTGTAAAAACTTTCGTTCTAGGGGTATGGTTTGGTGCTCTCCAGGCTGAATACGATAGAAGCTATGGCATTTCTGGCATTTTTAAACGTGAGTATTCGCAATGATTTGCTAACTCTCCTTACCACTCTGCAAGCCTCTTGTTCTCCATACTTTTCTTCATATTAGCCTCTGCTTTATCATAGCTTGAGGCTGAGCCAAATCGTGAAAAGCAACTAGTTCTGCGTCCTTTTCTCGGTATCCCTTTTTTCGAGCCAGAATCTCCCCCAATGACTGGGCATTCTTCAAACTTTATACTCTTGCCCTCTTCATTCTCAAGACAATCCTGAAAGGAATGGTACCTCATGTCTTCAATTCGGCTATCTGAGAAGCCACATGTTAGGGCGCTTTCACTCATTACGTTTCGACTGCTTTCGCTGCCAAGCAAGGGGGTGGGTCGTCTCGACAGACATGAAAGTGGATTTCCGGCCCTCAAATAGATCTCAAGAAGGTGCGGCATAATTTTGTTGCGCCCACCAGCTCGGCTGTTGCTTGCGGCCGACGTCAGTCTATTCATCTTCATGCAGCAGACTGAAAATCGAAATCTGAGTCGAAAAACACGAAGGGGGGTATAATGTAAGACATTATTTTGAAGTACGCAAATCAGCCCCTATTAATCAGAATTACATGCTTACTTATAATTGGCAACGATCATTTAAGAAAGATTTCTGATTTTACTCATTATTGCAAAAGAGCAGAGTAATAATAAGGAAGATGACAAAATTAATAGTTTCTTTGTTGCTATGTGCTTTCAAAACTCATTAATTTGGCACCATAAATTCGCTGTATATTTGATATGTACAAGAACTAGGTTTAACAAATCTCTCAATAATTTCATGTCTTTTATTAATTATTCTGTCTGCTACTCTTTTATAAAGTGAGATATATTTTCCAACCCTGAAAGTTTAGGATCGTTGTGTTTTTATTCTACCCTAAGTTATCTAGCAGTTTATTCCAGCAAAGTTAATTGACATAATTTAGGTGGACGTCAGGCATTCGAAAGATTCTTGTGGTGCGGCTCAACTGGCTTATTATGCACAAAGTTATCATATGGTGGGTGTTAACCTTTTAAGAGCAACGACGATTTTGACCTAGGATCTAATTCAAGCTCTTATTTGCACTTTTGATTCCCTTAATTTGGGAACTTTAGTTAAAGCCTGTTTGAGGCTAAATAATAGACAATGATAATTAATTTCGATTACCTACAGAGCCGAACCCTGAAGGCTTTCCAAATCTGGTGCAAGGACTTGATGTTTGATCTGCTTCTTCTCCACTACTTTTACTAGAAATAAGGGAAAAACGCTGTAGCCCTCAGGTCTATACAATTAATAAATGCACATAAAAATGCAATGATACAGTTTCTCTTTCTTTCAGACGCTTTTCTATAAATAAGCTCAGCTTATGGTGTCATAAGAGGATTGAGACAGTATTTCAGGTTTAGTTATACGCCTATAATTATCTTCACAGATCTACGTATGTCCTAGTGGCTCTACTCGCAATCGTATTAAAATACTACTCCCAAGGAAGCCCCTTAATTTTTCAGTTTAAACCCATATCTATGAAGGATAAACCACTTTCGGATGTAGAGCTGCTTCATTTTTTTCTCATTCTAACAGTCGGTAAATATAAATTTGAGTGATACGTCTTTGCCTAGAAGTCATGCACTCTCACTTACCGTTCCATTAAATGCATCCTGTTTTGCAGATCATTTGCATTTTGTTCAACGATCTCACGAAAACGTTGTCGCATCTCCGTTTTAAATTGGCACCATTTAAAACTTTTTAGGAGATTAGGCTGAGACAGGTTTGGATTTGGTTTTGTCAAAATCATAGCTGCCTTAGATGTCCCCATTCCGATGGATTTAAATTCATCGAAACCAAAGCTGCTCTTGGATTGATTTGAATATGCAGACTTGAATCTGGTTAATACAAAGTAAAATAGTATTGCTCTCTCCTGTAAAGCTTCAATGAAGTATTATTTTAAGTATAAATACAAATTAGTTACTACACGAGCCGATATTGCAATTTAAGTGAAATAATTAAGAGGTGAATTAGTGGCTTCGGTGAAAAATTGAATGCCACTATGTCTGAGGTAGCTATAGATATCATAACATTACTTTATTATAACCATGCTTATCAATTGCCTACAAAATCATATGGACAATAAGGCATGTTCTTGGCTTACGCTATCTTTAAAACCACCAAGTAGGCAGAAAAATGTATCATTAAAGTATTTCAAAAATAGGTGATTTTCGTAAACTCTTGTATTTTCATCAAAAACTGATCGGTATAAGCAGCAAGAAGGTTTAGGCTAAATGAATTTCACTGGTGTTCTGAGGCCCTCTACTCATCTAGCAGGCCCTCACTCATCCTAATAGACCCAAGATGAATCCACATTTATAATAAATTGATCGAGAAGAAGTCTTCGAAAGTCACTATTACCTATCCTTAGAGTGAATCATCTTCATTAATGAAATGCTCACTAAACTCCTCATTTTACTCATTTCACTTTGAATAAAGCTCAAAGACTTGTTGAAATCAAGACTTTCTATCGAAAGTATATTTGATATCGAAAAATCTATCGAAGGCATGAGAATCTAATAATCTTAAGTCAATCTCCTTGCAATGCTCCGGGTAAAGATGTGAGTCTGGTAGGCTTCATATTGTATGAGAGCCAATTAGGAAAACTCATCCTCTATCAGTCTGTAATTTCAACTTTTGGGGGTGATTTTTCTGATTTGTTCTTTCTTTAAAGTCAACCTAATGCAACCATTTCTGTACAAATTAACATTTGTTTCCTAAATAAAACTTTGACTGAATGGACAAAGCCTGAGAGTCCTATGACAGTTCAAAGTGTTAATATTATAAATGACTATGAATTCTCAAATGTGGTAACAACACCGTGTTCGAACCATCCATATAACCGATATCATGGTATCAGAAAAAACATATTCTAAATGAAATATATGAAGCTACCACATTTTAATTTCATATATTGATTGCTAAAGGCTGTCTCGAATAGAACAGTTTTCATAAGTTTTCTCAGAGGAACATTCATGCAATTACCAGATGACACAGGCTGTACGTTAAAGAGAGAATAGCACTGCATAGGATTAGAGTCTCTATCCGCCTATTATTAAAATCAAATTTGCTCAGCAGAGAGGGTCTAATTTACTAGTTCGATTGATCTCCTGAGATATCCCCGTTAGGGAAACAATCATTTCGTGTGAAACTGGATGAAGAAGAGATCCGAAGGTCGATCTCACTAAAGTAGTAAGGCTGAATCCCGTTTCACCGCATACGTTTAATACGACCTTCTTGTTGGCATCCTCCCTCGCTTGGTGT